CTCGTAATATAACTTTAAATTCGGTACCGCGAACCCCCCTCTCTCTCTTGCATCTGTCAGGTATTTAAACTTTATCCTGGCTCTCTTCCCCTGCCAGATAAACTTAGTCAACATTTTTTGCCAGTTATTAAAACGAGTGATACCCTTAATTACCGGGATATTTTGAAACAGAAACAGTAACCTTGGAAGGATACACATTTTAATCGCCGCCATCCTCCCCGTCCATGAGAGCTTCAGCCTCTGCCAGGTATCCAGATCTTTTTTAATTTAGGAATTTGGCTATCTCCAAAAAATATAAATTTGGTTGAAGATAATTATGACAAGATTTGGCAAGAAATTAAAAAAGATCTGGATACCTGGCAGAGGCTGAAGCTCTCATGGACGGGGAGGATGGCGGCGATTAAAATGTGTATCCTTCCAAGGTTACTGTTTCTGTTTCAAAATATCCCGGTAATTAAGGGTATCACTCGTTTTAATAACTGGCAAAAAATGTTGACTAAGTTTATCTGGCAGGGGAAGAGAGCCAGGATAAAGTTTAAATACCTGACAGATGCAAGAGAGAGAGGGGGGTTCGCGGTACCGAATTTAAAGTTATATTACGAGGCAGCCTGTTTAAGTTGGTTAAAGGAATGGGCCACCCTTAGGAATACTGATTTATTGGATTTGGAGGGCTTTGACATTAGGTTCGGGTGGCACGCTTACCTGTGGCAGGGGAAAGGTGAGGTACATAGAGGGTTTTCAAGCCATATAATTAGAGGTTCACTTTTGGCGGTGTGGAATAGATATAAAAAATTGATTGAAAAAGGGACCCCCTGGTGGCTCTCCCCAGTGGACATCATCAGATTAAAAAAACCAAACATGACGGAGGAAAGATGGACCTATGAGGATCTTTTGACAAAGTCAGAAGAGGGTTGGAAGATAAAACCTTATGATGAGCTGAAAGATAAGATAAAAGAATGGCTACTCTTTCACCAGATTAATGCACTGTGGGGTGAGCACAAGACGCAGGGGGTGAGGGATAAAAAATCAAGATATCAGGTGGAAATCCTAGAGAGTAACGATAAACACCTCTCTAAATTATATAATTATCTTCAACCAAATTATATAATTATCTTCAACCAAATTTATATTTTTTGGAGATAGCCAAATTCCTAAATATTTTGCCTTATTCACAATTTTAATGCCCGTCTTTTGTTCCAATTGGTTTTTATCTTCATTGGCCAGGTTCTTTGTTAAAATTTTTGTTTTCTTCCTGTTTAGTCTAAATCCTGACAGTCTGCCGAATTCCTCTAACAATTCAATCAACTTACAAACACTGTCCACTGGTTCTTCCAGGGATAGGACTAGGTCATCCGCATAGGCTTTTAGCTTGAATTCTTTCCTTCCAATTCTAATACCCTTCACATTCCCAGCATCTCTTATTCTATTTGCGATGACTCAGGGTGGCTTTCAACACACACACACACACACACACACACACACACACACAAACATACAGAGTGGTACCTCGGGTTACATACACTTCAGGTTACAGACTCCGCTAACCCAGAAATATTACCTCGGGTTAAGAACTTTGCTTCAGGATGAGAACAGAAATCGTGTTCCTGCGGCGTGACGGCAGCAGGAGGCCCCATTAGCTAAAGTAGTGCTTCAGGATAAGAACAGCTTCAGCTTAAGAACAGACCTCCAGAACGAATTATGTTCTTAACCCGAGGTACCACTGTATATATAAGCATAATTAAACATTTAAAAACTTTCTCATACAAGGCTACCTTCAGATGTCTTCTACAGGTTGTATAATTACTTTTCTCCTTGGCTCAGGGGTCACTGGAGGTCCATACTCCGCCAAGGTAAGCAGTTGGCTCCTTACCTCTCTCACCCTGACCTAGCCACTGTGATCCACGCGACGGTCACCTCCAGGCTTGATTATTGTAACTCACTCTACATGGGGCTGCCCTTGAGACTGACCCAGAAACTCCAGCGGGTGCAGAATGCCACAGCAAGACTCCTTACAGGGTCCTCGCTGTGGGATCACATTCACCCAGTGCTATACCAGCTGCACTGGCTCCCGGTGGAGTACAGGGTCAGGTTTATGGTGCTGGTTTTAACCTTTAAAGCCCTATACGGCCTAGGACCCTCGTACCTACGGGACCGCCTCTCCTGGTATGTCCCACGGAGGACCTTACGGTCTTCAAACAAAAACATATTGGAGGTCCCAGGCCACAGAGAGGTTAGGCTGGCCTCAACTAGAGCCAGGGCTTTTTTGGCCGTGGCCCCGATCTGGTGGAATGCTCTGTCACAAGAGACCAGGGCCCTGCGGGACTTGACATCTTTCCGCAGGGCCTGCAAGACAGAGCTGTTCCACCAGGCCTTTGGCCAAGGCACAGTCTGACCCCCTCCTTCGGTAATCCTCATAGAACTCTAGCCCAATGGTTGCCATTAATTTGATTCTGAATTGATTTTAGAATGTATTTCAATTAATTGACTGTGATTTTATGTAAATTGTGCTATTTTTACTGTTGTTAGCCACTCTGAGCCTGGCTCTGGCTGGGGAGGGCGGGATATAAATAAAGTATTATTATTATTATTATTATTATTATTATTATTATTATTATTATTATTATACCCTCCAACATTTATACAGCGAAAATAGAGGCAACCTAAGGAAAAGCGGGACATTCCAGGATCAAATCAGAAACCAGGATGGCTGTCCCTGGAAAATAGGGACACTTGGAGGGTCTGAGATCCTCTCTCACGCAATTTCTTGCTACACCAAAATGCACTGCAGTGGCCAGTTTTTCAAAGACGTTTTGTGACGCCTGGAAGGAACCCAAATCCTGCGCCTTCGGACTTAGGAATACAGCTGCAAATCTAGCTTTTTAAGTGCATTATACAAATGGGAGACTAAATGGTGAGCTTATGGCAAATTCAATACAGTATATTTTTCAAAACACATTATTTTAAAAAGCATTTTCACAGCATTTTTTATTTGTCTCGATTCCACCCTAGAATTCCTATAGAATTGCCACTTTTACTGCCCTGGCTCCTGATGCTTCTCAACAGCACCCTGCCAAATAAAAGTTAACCAGGTGAAGCTTTCCCCCATCTGCTTCATGCCTCCTTGTCAGAAACTGTTTCACCTGCTAATGTCCCAATTGTGTGGTTGCTCTTAAAGGCGCAGGAACAGGGCCTTGGAGTGGTGTGTGCAGACATGGCAACCATAAATTTCTCCTTTTAACCCCAGAAAATTATGAGTGGATGGGGTGAGCTCCCCTTCCTCGGTCCCTGCTCCTGCCAACCTAGCAGTTCGAAAGCACGTCAAAGTGCAAGTAGATAAATAGGTACCGCTCCGGGGGGAAGGTAAACGGCATTTCCGTGCGCTGCTCTGGTTCGCCAGAAGCGGCTTAGTCATGCTGGCCACATGACCTGGAAGCTGTATGCCAGCTCCCTCGGCCAATGAAGCGAGATGAGCGCCGCAACCCCAGAGTCGGCCACGACTGGACCTAATGGTCAGGGGTCCCTTTACCTTTACCTTACCAGCTACTCAGTGATAAATGGAAAAGTACTTTCCCCATGTTCATCATTGCTCTATTGTTGCAGCATGTGTTCCAGGGATGAAGCCTTCGATAAGAAGCCCTGGAGGGGAGTGAGGCCTGGTTTATATGAAGCCATCAAATAATATTTTTGAGAAAGAAACGCTAAGAGCCGATTCCACCACTCCCAGTTTTTTATCCTCCTCTCGTGCTAAGCTCGTGGCTGCGGCGGTGTGCTGTGGCATGCTGTTTACACCAAGAAAAGTCTCTTTTCTTCCCTCACTTGACAGCCACAGCTTTGGCATGCTAAAAAAAGAGGAAGAAGAATCGTGGAAACGTCCCAAAATGTGCTAGATAAATAGCTCTCCTAGCCAACAGGCCTCCACCCATCCCAGGCCAAACCACAAACAGCCAGCTGGGGCCAGCTCTTGTTTTTTACCAGATGGGGAAGGGGGTGAACGCGGGAGTGTTTTTGTAGGATTTCTGCCTGAAAAGGTACTGGATATGTCCAAAGGATTTCTGAAGCTTCAATCTAGACTACAGGGGCTTATAGAGCTGACAAACCTCATCACAAGTACAAGGCAAACAGCTGAAGCTTCTCCTGGCATAATGAAGGGAAAGGCTACACCTGTTGAATTGGTGCCTGTCCCACAGCAGTTAAAGGCACAGGGCCTCTTGACATTGGCCAACATAACAGGCCTATTCTAGTGTCCCATTTTGCTCAGGCAAGGGTCCTATCCTGTTAGCAGCTAGGGAAAGGGCAGTCTGAAATCTAACAGGTGAAGCCTTACCTCCCTCCCTCCCTCTCTCTCTCTCTCTCTCTCTCTCTCTCTCTCACACACACACACACACACACACACACACACCTACTACTGTGTGCTCCCTGGGCTGGAGGCTATTTCCTATTCACATAACAATGACACACACAAAAACCCTTTTTGTGGTTGTCAGTTCATGAGGATTTGATTAGGGAAGTTTTTAATATTTAATGCTGTATTGTTTTTAACACTTGATTGGAAGCTGCCCAGAGTGGCTGGGGAAACTCAGCCAGATGGGTGGGGTATAAATAATAAATTATTATTATTAATTATTATTATTATTATTATTATTATTATTATTATTATTATGCAGAATTGCACTTGCACTAGTAAAACCCCAAATAAGTCAATGGATAATCTACAAAGAACAAGAAGTAACAATTTCTGCTGTCATCTGTGTTGGTGCAAAGGGGAAAAAATAGGTATATAAAAGGAGAATTCCTGGATGCCAAGACCCATGTTTGGAATATGTACTTTTGTGAGAGAACCCTAGCAGAGATTTAAAAATCACAAAATATGCAACAAAGTGAAATATAGAATTATAGGTTGTTAGACCTTTAAAATATACCCGTGAGATCCAAAATTTCCCTCTTCCCCCAGCAGAGGGGGGAAAAACCCACATTTGGTAAATTAAAAATGGTTTACTTACAAACTCTTCAAAGGTCAGTTTCCTGTCCTCCAGAAATTTGCACAGGCAGTAAGTAAAACTTGGCTTAGTGATGAAAGTTCCTAAATCACTAGTAGATGAACTCAAGAGCAGCTTCTGAGAGCCTCCTCACACTTGAGCTTCTCAGGTAAACTGAACAACAGGCCTGATTACCCATTTCCTCCCAAGGTAAGGGGAAGTGATCTCACTAAGCCTGGCAGGACAGCTTACTCTATGGTATTAACCCCTTCATGCATCAATTAGATTGAACCATGTTGGTTACATGAGGCTGGCTATCCCACAATCTGGAAATGCTCCAGCTGCTCTCCTTCCATTCTCTATCTCTCTTTCTCCCCCTTCCCACCTCACCTCTGAAATAAGACTTCTATTTTTGGACATAGAGAATTCATTATACTGTGTTCCAGTCTGTCTTCTACTTTGCCTTCCCCCCGCAACTATGGATCTTTTACAACTGCATGGTTTTATTCTTGTTAAAGTGTTTAACTTTTCTCCTGGTGGCCTCTCTCGTTTGGGTTGAGCTCTAAGCCTTTGTCTGAGTAATTTATCGCTGGAGATTAAAAAAATATAGACTTGTGCAACAGGCTTGAAGTCAAGAATTCATCAACATTGAGAGTGACCCCACTTCCCCTTACTTGATGCAACGGGTTGCATCGTTCTTGCTAGTCTGTATTCATCTTACCAGTGTTTACTCTTGAACCTTACGATGCAAGTGATCATCTGTCACTGTCAAATGGAATTTAGAGCTGATCAACTTTGTGGTTGGGAATACTAGTTCACCAAAGTGTGTGCTTTCAAAAGAAACACCATGCCAGTAGTCAGATTCAATGCATTAATTAATCAATCAGTCTGAGAATAGTTCATGGTTCATTGAATTGTAGGTGCTAAGGTCATGTGCTCCATTTGTTGAGCTGCTATTTTGGGGGTGGAGGAAATCCTAGATGAGCTGTACGTTGCTTATGGGCTCTACAAAGCCTAAGGTTGCAGTCCAGTCTACTCAGAAGTAAATCCCACAGTGTTCAATGCTGCTCACTTCCAAGTTAAGTGTGCACAGGACTACGGCCTTTTGCTGCTTTTCTTTGCAATTCCCTTTAACCACAGTATCTCTTACAGCGCAGATAGGTGAAGCAATAGCACCACCTGCTGGCAATGAACGAAATGACGAAGCAATGATTTCAGCACACTTTGCTGCTATTCAACTTGATCTAAAGCTCCTTGAACAAAGCTGAGGAAATTGCTATTGTGAGAGCTGTTTGTGGTTCTGAAAGAGATGGAACTGGCTGCTAAAAATGACCTTAATCATTGCTGCACTTAAATTATAGCACAGGATGGAGAGGAGGGAAGAACGGGAGGAGGAGCTCTACTCCAATAAAGGTGTGTTTTTGTTGCTGTTTAGTCGTTTAATCGTGTCTGACTCTTCGTGACCCCATGGACCAAAGCACGCCAGGCACTCCTGTCTTCCACCGCCTCCCGCAGTTTGGTCAAACTCATGCTGGTAGCTTTGAGAACACTGTCCAACCATCTCGTCCTCTGTCGTCCCCTTCTCCTTGTGCCCTCAATCTTTCCCAACATCAGGGTCTTTTCCAGGGAGTCTTCTCTTCTCAGGAGGTGGCCAAAGTATTGGAGCCCCAGCTTCAAGATCTGTCCTTCCAGTGAGCACTCAGGACTGATTTCCTTCAGAATGGATAGGTCTGATCTTCTTGCAGTCCACGGGACTCTCAAGAGTCTCCTCCAGCACCATAATTCAAAAGTATAATACATCACTACTGGGAAAACCATAGCTTTTAATTATACGGACCTTTGTTGGCAAGGTGATGTCTCTGCTTTTAGAAGGTCATTATTAATAGACAAGCATCTCCACTAGCTGTAAACCAGTCTCAGCCTCCCACTTATTTAATTTCTGCTCAGAATCTTTGCTAACATAATTGATCGTTCCATAGAGAGAGAACTTATGGTTTGTCACTCATGGATTCAAGAAGTTAACACTAGCACCTGCTCACTCCTACTGCAACTGGCTGGAACTAACAAAGCTTGGAGAAGAAACAGGAAAGCGGTAAAAGCCTGAAAGGAAGTAATCCAGTTTACCAACAAGTAGCTACTAAGAGAGATCAGTTGAGAAGGAAGGTTGCCTTTCTGTCACGTGTTGCCTCTAGTGTTCAGCTAACTAACTACAAGTATTTTAGCTTCACTTCCAATACCTACCGGTATCACTTTCCAAATCTCAAAAAGTCAGGGTTTTCTAAATGCAGATTTATTGCATTCAGTATGAACTTGAATCACTCCAGCAAAATACTGCTAGCCGGCAGTCTGGGAAAAGACACCTTGTTTTGCCCCACTCCCTTTCTGGTAAAGGACCCCTGACCATTAGGTCCATTCGTGACCGACTCTGGCGTTGCGCGCTCATCTCGCTTTCAGGCCGAGGGAGCCGGTGTTTGTCTGCAGACAGCTTCCAGGTCATGTGGCCAGCATGACTAAGCCGCTTCTGGCAAACCAGAGCAGCACATGGAAACGCCGTTTACCTTCCCGCCGGAGCTGTACCTATTTATCTACTTGCACTTTGTGCTTTCGAACTGCTAGGTTGGCAGGAGCAGGGACTGAGCAACGGGAGCTCACCCTGTCATGGGGATTCGAACCGCCAACCTTCTGATCGGCAAGCCCTAGGCTCTGTGGTTTAACCCACAGCGCGACCCGCGTCTCACTCCCTTTCTACCCCAGTCCAATTGGGGTTAATCTTTAATTTCTTCCTTCCTTTCTTTTTTTACATTTGTTTAAATCTCTGCTCTAAACATTTGTAGGCGAGCCTGCCTAAAGGCGCACATGCAAGCATATTTCAAGCACTGTGAGTACACACAGGTCTGGGCGTCAGACATTTACAAGCCTGCGGGGAAAGAGGAAGTTGCTTCAGGGAGTTTAGACACTTGGGAGTTTTTCTCCTCTCAGCAGAGGCAGTGAGGAACCTTTATAAATAGCCGTCCAGAACGTAGAGGCACCCCATGGACATCAGGCATAATCTCTGGATCCAAACGCTCCTCTTTCCCCGGTAAGTTGCTTAACATTCTTAAAGTTTCCATATGAGAGAATCTAAAGTTTTTAAGTTGAAATATTTGGGTGGCTTTGCTGTTATTTTTCTGAAGGTCTCTCAGAGATGCGTAGAGTTGATATTAACTTTCAAGTCTGGTTTAGCGCTATGGCTGCTTAGAAAAGGGGTAGGTAATGTGGTGATGTCCTTCATGTGTTTTTAACTACATCATCCCTGATCGCAGACCGACATGGCCAGGAGGACTGGTGGGAACTGTAGTTCAAAGCACCCGGAGGTCGTGACATTGGCTGCCCCTGGCTTATAAAGTTGTCTGCAATGGAGCCTTTTCTGGCGCAGAGCCTAAACAAGAGAGTAAAGGCTTTATGGACTGTATTCCTGGGTGTGAAGCTGGTGTTAAAAGCCACAGTGGTGCAGTAAGGATGGGGCGAAGGGAGGAGGCTCATAACTGATCTCTTAACCCTGAGAATGCTGTTTGAACATGCCCAGACGGCATGCTTTCCTTATTACGCTGTTCATTTATGGGTAGAACACTGCCATGGAGATATCTGGTGCTGTATAATCTCCAGAGTAATTTAAATTCAGTTCCAAGATGGCTTGTTTATTGTACATTTATTGAGCCTCCGTCTTGATTTGTTTGTGCAAAGTTTGTGGGGAGGTCACTTGAATTAGCACAAGGGTGAACAATGTAGTGCCTGATAGATCAGGCATAGGCAAACTCAGCCCTCCAGATGTTTTGAAACTACAATTCCCATCATCCCTGACCAATGGTCCTGCTAGCTAGGGATGATGGGAATTGTAGTCTCAAAACATCTGAAGGGCCGAGGTTGAGGAAGCCTGTTCTAGAGGCTCTAAGGTTGTCAGAATCTGAACTGTGACCTGCAGCTGTGCCTTTAAAAGGGCCTTGATTTGCAGTCCTTAATATGTGGCAATAATTATTTCCATGCCCCTCCACACAGGAAGCAGACTTTTCCTGTTGATTTCTGCACACTGAGCCAATGTATTAAGCTAGGCATAGGTAAACTCGGCCCTCCAGATGTTTTGAGACTACAATTCCCATCATCCCTGACCACTGGTCCTGTTAGCTAGGGATGATGGGAGTTGTAGTCCCAAAACATCTGGAGGGCCGAGGTTTGCCTATGCCTGTATTAAGCCAAGGGTTGGGGAAACATTTTCTTTCTTAACCTCGGGTCACTGGGCAACCTTCCAGGTACCGCATGCCAGTGATAGGGGAAACACATGGAGCAGTGAATTTAAACTTCACCTCTGTACACTAGGCTAGTTCTGCACATGCTCACACATTCCTCCGCATTCCCTCCAACATTTATCAGATGAAAATAGGCATGTCCTATTCAATAATAATAATAATATGATTTATACCCCGCCCATCTGACTGGGTTGCCCCAGCCACTCTGGGCAGCTTCCAACATACAAAATAAAAATAAAAAAACATTAAATGACTTCCCTATATAGGGCTGGGTGGCGCTGTGGGTGAAACCACAGAGCCTAGGACTTGCCGATCTGAAGGTTGGAGGTTCAAATCCCCTCGACGGGGTGAGTGCCCGTTGCTCAGTCCCTGCTCCTGCCAACCTAGCAGTTCAAAAGCACGTCAAGTGCAAGTAGATAAATAGGTACCGCTCAGGCGGGAAGGTAAACGGCGTTTCCATGCGCTGCTCTGGTTCACCAGAAGTGGCTTAGTCATGCTGGCCACATGACCCGGAAGCTGTACGCCGGCTCCCTCGGCCAATAAAGCAAGATGAGTGCCGCAGCCCCAGAGTCAGTCACGACTGGGCCTAATGGTCAGGGGCCGCCTGCCCACTGGTAGCAAAGTAAACTACATAAAAAGTAAACTACATTCTTACCCACTAGCCAGTAGAGAAAAATAAAAGCTCAGACACCGACACCTCCCTTCCTAGCAGCGGAATCCCCAGCACAGAAATCATTTATTTAACAGTAGCAGGGAGTGCCAGGAGCCAGATTGGGAGGCCTGGATGATCACTTGAGGTTTCATACCCTTGTGTTAGGCAGAAGATGAGGCTCAGGCTTAGGGGTCCACCTCCCGCTGCCCGGTCAGTTGGCAACCCAAAGAAGTTAAAGAGCTAAGCAGAATGTGTGGCTACTTTTCATCATGAAGAGTGGGGCGTGTGTGTGTGTGTCCATGTTCTACAATACAGTGGTACCTCGGGTTAAGTACTTAATTCGTTCCAGAGGTCCGTACTTAACCTGAAACTGTTCTTAACCTGAAGCACCACTTTAGCTAATGGGGCCTCCTGCTGCCGCCGTGCCGCCGGAGCACGATATCTGTTCTCAATCTGAAGCAAAGTTCTTAACCTGAAGCACTATTTCTGGGTTAGCGGAGTCTGTAACCTGAAGCGTATGTAACCTGAAGCATATGTAACCTGAGGTATCACTGTAATAGATCCATTAGGGCCGGTTGCGGCTGTCTGGGCATTCCCAGCAGCTCAGGATGACTCCCTTATCTAGGGCTCTTTTGTGGGGGGCAGACGCCTGCCTTTCTGTCTCTACCTCCCCGGCATTCCGTCTCAAACTTGAAAGCGGAGCCATCCAGGTAGAGGATGGTGCCTGTCAGGACCGATTTGGAGACGTCTGTTTCCGTGGCAACGTCCCAATTAGGCCTTAAAAAGGAAGGAATGGGGTTGCACTTTGATCTCTCTCTCTTCCCTGGAGAAAGCCGGGATGCAAATGAGAGCGAGTCTTGCGCATGTTGAAACTCGCATGCGGCAGAGGCCTCAGGCTTCTGGCTGGCTGGCAAGGAAATCTTTTCTCGCTCTTGATACACTTCTCATTGGTTTCCAGGTCTTTCCGGCTTTCTTATGCGCTGCACCATGGTGGCAACTGCTTAGCTGGGATGGGAGTCCTTTCACAGTAGCATGTACCTCTCAGCCGCAAGCAGCATGTGCACTATAACTCGAAGGCACATTCGAAGCCAGTGGCGTAGCGTGGGGGGTGCAGGGGGGCCGGCCGCACCGGGCGCAAAATCTGGGGTTAGGGCAAATCCACAGGTTAGGGGGTGCAAATCCACGGGTTAGGGGGCGCAAATTACTTGCCTTGCCCCGGGTGCTGACAACCCACGCTACGCCACTGTTCGAAGCACATCCTTTCCCTCAAGGAATTATGTGGTTTTTTTGAGGGTATTTGCTGGGAAGCGTAACTCAGTGAGAGGAAAACTACAGTGCCCAGAATTCTCTGAGGGAATGAATGTGCTTCGAATGTGCCTTAAAAGTATCGTGTGTACGCAGCCTCAGTAGCCCACAGGCAAGAAGCCTGTAAAGGGGGGCAGGGAGATGAGGCAGAGATGATGATGATGATGATGATGATGATGATGATGATGATAATTTATTATTTATACCCCAGCCACTCTGGGCGACTTCCAACCAAATATTAAAATATAGTAATACATCAAACATTAAAAGCTTCCCTGAACAGGGCTGCCTTCAGATGTCTTCTAAATGTCAGATAGTTGTCTATCTCTTTGACATCTGATGGGAGGGCGTTCCACAGGGCGGGCGCCACTACCGAGAAGGCCCTCTGCCTGGTTCCCTGTAACTTGGCTTTTCGCAGTGAGGGAACCGCAGAAGGCCCTCGGTGCTGGACCTCAATGTCCGGGTAGAACGATGGGGGTGGAGACGCTCCTTCAGGTATACTGGACTGAGGCCGTTTACGGCTTTAAAGGTCAGCACCAACACTTTAAATTGTACTTGGAAACATACTGGGAGCCAATGTAGGTCTTTCAAGACTGGTGTTATGTGGTCTCGGCGGCCGCCCCCAGTCACCAGTCTAGCTGCCGCATTCTGGATTAGTTGTAGTTTCCAAGTCACCTTCAAAGATAGCCCCACGTAGAGCGCATTGCAGTAGTCCAAGTGGGAGATAACTAGAGCATGCACCACTCTGGCAAGACAGTCTGTGGACAGGTAGGGTCTCAGCCTGCGTACCAGATGGAGCTGATAAACAGCTGCCCTGGACACAGAATTGACCTGTGCCTCCCAGGCTGCGCACCTGGTCCTTCAGGGGCACAGTTACCCCATTCAGGACCAGGGAGTCCTCCACACCTGCCTGCCTCCTGTCCCCCCAAAACAAAAATGCCACAGCTTCCTCAGCACTTGGCAATGTAGCAGTGACCATGACTACTACCTGGCTTGGACAGACCAGAAGTGGCTTTTTGGGGAGTCTAGGAGATCTGAAGTGGCTGCTGGGAAAGTTTGTTGCCGTGACAAGATTCTGTGCCAAAACATCTGACAAGTTAACTAGCTGTTGTTTGAAATATTTCCCTGTGCCAGCCTTGGAGTCAGTGCTAATGTGTGTGCTTGGAAGCTTGACACGCTTAAACTGAAATCTTTCTCTCTCCCATTTCCTTGTAGAGGTAGCATATTGGCCTGCTAGGTCCTGACCTTTCCACCAGAGGGCAGCATAGCCAAAAACCACTTCCTCCCAAGATGGCGGATCTTGCCAGCAACTTCTCCTGCTACGACCCGTCCATTGTTGGCTACCGCTACGTGGCAGTGAGTTGGGGCATTGTGGTGGCCATCGTGGGCACAGTGGGCAACGTGCTGACCCTGCTGGCCTACGCGGCTGAGGCCAAGCTGCAGACACGTTTCAACCTTCTCATTGTCAACCTGACTGTGGCAGACATTCTGTACTGCACCTTCCTGCAGCCCTTCTCGGTTGACTCCTACCTCCATCTCCACTGGCGGGCAGGGGCCGACTTCTGCCGTGTCTTTGGGATGTTGCTCTTTGTCTCCAACTCCGTCTCCATCTTGACGCTCTGCCTCATCGCCATCAGCCGCTACCTGATCATTGCCAACACCGCCCTCTTTGACCGCATCTTCTCCCGCCTCGGGACGATGCTCATCATCCTGGGCACCTGGGTTGCCGGCCTGGCCAGTTTCGCGCCGCTGTGGCCCGTCTATGTCTTAGTGCCCAAGGTGTGCACCTGCAGCTTCCACCGCCTCCGCGGACGGCCCTACACCACCATCCTCATGGGATTCTACTTTGTGGTGGGTCTCAGCTGCGTCGGGATCTTCTACTTCCTCATCCACCGCAAAGTCAAGAGTGCCGCCCGTGCCATGGACCAATACAAGCTGAAGAAGACCAGCTTGAAGAAGGGCCACGTGGCTGGTGACAGTTCAGCCACACCGGGACGATACCAAGAGCTTGACAGCGGAGTGGACAGTGCAGGTCCTTCCCAGCACTCCTGTGAGGGTCAGTCTTCTGAGTCGACTGCCAGTACCAATCTCCCATCAGCTTCCCAAAATGGCGAAACACCTCCTAAGAAAGCTACCCCGTGCCAGGCCAAGGACAGCAACTCAGAATTCCGCCGGGTGACCCGCATGTGCTTTGTGGTCTTCCTTTTCTTTGTCATCTGCTACATCCCCTTCCTGCTAATCAACATCTTTGATGCCAAGAACCGGGCTCCAACCGTCTTGCACATGATCGCCGCCAATCTCACTTGGCTCAACAGCTGCATCAACCCAGTGCTTTATGCTGCTATGAACCGCCAGTTCCGCGAGGCTTACAGAGACGTGGTCTACAACTTTGCAAAGAGGTTCCGCTGCTGCCGCTAACTGGAAGCCAGGGCCACTCTCCAGCGCCGGAGGAGGGATACGGTCTTCCCACCAACCCTGGTTTGCCCTCAGGGCTGAAATATCGCCAGAAAGCAAAAAAGCTAACTGGGTTTTCCAGACTGGACTAGATTCCCAGTTCTTTAATCCAGGCCTTCACATGATGCGGGCCCTGTTCTTTTGCTACGGTATATTATTGTAAATTGTATTCCATATTCTGTTGTGGCCCCTATGGCCAATAGGGAAATCAGACTGAACTGGTATAATGGGCCCTGCCTTTGACATATTGTTGAAGCTGGCGGCGAGGCCTCCCTTCTGGATTACAGAAAAACTGTTTGGACTTGCCAAGCTTCGGATACGAAAGCAAATGTTGTACCTCCACAAAGTCTCTCCTCCCTGGACAATCATCCAGTTTTAATAGGAGCTAAGAGGCTGCAGTGCCTGGTCTGCACTTTGCTGCTGATGGGTTGCATCCAAGGCCAGTATGGTGTAGTGGTTAAGAGCGGTAGTCTCGTTATCTGGGGAACCGGCTTTGCGTCTCCGCTCCTCCACATGCAGCTGCTGGGTGACCTTGGGCCAGTCACACTTCTCTGAAGTCTCTCAGCCCTCACTCACCTCACAGAGTGTTTGTTGTGGGGGAGGAAGGGAAAGGAGAATGTTCACTGCTTTGAGACTCCTTAAAAGGGAGTGAAAGGCGGGATATCAAATCCAAACTCTTCTTCTTCAATGTAGCTCCATCAATTTCAGTAGGACTAGCCTTGGATACAACCCTTTCTCTATATTTTTTAACCATTCTGTTTTGCAAATACGTATTTATATTTATCACAGCACCACTCTGTTGACAATTTACCTTCTTATGGATCTGATCACATGATGGCAGCTCCCTCCATAAACGCTTTCACTGACTTCCCACTGGCTCCCAGGTCTTGCAAAAGAACTTTGTCTTTGCCTTCAAACCCCCCCCATGGTTTTGCCTTTCCTTATCTCTCTGCTTGTACACCCAGCCAGCCCAGTCAATGGTCAGGTGAGATGGGAGTTGTTGTCCAACAACACTTAGAGCAGCGGTTCTCAACCTGTGGGTCCCCAGATGTTGTTGGACTACAACTCCCATCATCCCTGAGCTCTGGCCTTGCTAGCTAGGGGTGATGGGAGTTGGAGTTCAACACCATCTGGGGACCCACAGGTTGAGAAAGGCTGACCTAGAGGGACACAGTGATCCATCTGTCTGTAGCCCTTGCTGATCCAGCACCACTATTCCCAGCTATCCAATAATCTTTTCGCCCCGCAAATGGCTCCACCTCTTCTCCCTGGCTGCCCCTTGTGCCTGGAACTGCCTCCCCAATCACCTCCACGATGGCGCCTCTTTCTCTCCTTCAAATCTCTCCTTCAAACTCCCATCTATTCCCTGAAAACCTGCACATGCTTTGTACACAGCTTGCGCTCATTGGTCTCAACATAACTGACACCGACTGGCAACAGCTTTCCGGGTTTCAGACAGGGGATAACCCCAGCAGTGCCTGGAGTTGAATTTGGGACATTCTGCATGCAAAGGAGAAAGAAAAATGTAACAACCAGAACCTTACATGGTGGTTTGCATCAAGGGTGAGAAAATTGAGTTCTGCTGGGAATTGTTTTTCTATAAAAGCTTGATTCCCTTCATTTCCTGTACATCTGTACATTCTGTACATTCATTTCACTGTCCCCACATTTGGACATCATAATTTAGACCATTTCAAAACCCAATATACCTGCACTATATATTACATTAGTTGCTGGCCTATTTAGAAAATGTTTCACTGTCGGATTATGGCATTTGCATAAATGTTGTCGTTGTAACCTTGAAATAAAAGGATCTATAATAATAGCTTATTTATTTGGTATTTATAGACCATGCATCTGCACGCTGACCCAGAGCAGGTTATGTATAGCATGTTACTAGTCAGTCATAGTGCATGTAAACATTAACTTGGAAATAGTAGGGGTGTCCTGATCTCATTCTCCATACTCAGAGGCCTGTGGGGGGAAATGTGGGTTGGCTGGCATCAACATGTCAGCATTGATGAGTCCAGATGCACCTTGGAGGGGCATTCCTGAGCCTGGGGGCCACCACAAAGAAGGCCCTCTCCTGCGCTGCCACTCCATGGATTTTACAGGGCAGTGGAACTGCAGATCTAAACACCTATGCAAAACAGCACTTCTTCAGGTCTTTGGGACCCAAGTCATTTAGATCCTGATCTCTAGACCTGAGCTGAGTTGCTAAAATGCGACAAATAGTAAGAAATAGACCACGTTTCTTCTGATCAGTTCCACTTTCCCTGTGGTTTGCTGGGCAATGCCGTCTGTTAGATTGCTCAAGAGCTTTGCTTAGCGACACAGTTGCAGTGGCACATCAGGTTTAACAAAGAGTGCAAGCCTTTGCATGTACTTATTTGGGATTCTCATTGCACTCTGAACAGGATGGAGTTGCAGATCCGAGCTGCTAAATCGCACAGCTTTAAAAATGCTCTCTTCTCTCCCGCGCCCCCAAAAAGACTCGCATGGTCTTGACAGCAGCCTGGCACACAGAAATTCTGGGGATCACCTTTTTTCTTCCCCAGGGCAGCCACTTTCTGTTGCCTGTGTGCCATTACATCTGCTTATTCATTTTCTGGCTGCTAATGGCACAGGTGACTTTCCTGGAGCCCGCCTCATAAAGACGTGCTATGATACTTTCCAGTCCTGTCTCCACGATTTCTCCTTTGTTTGGTTTGTTCTAGATGGGATCTAGGGACGCGGGTGGCACTGTGGGTTAAACCACAGAGCCTGGGACTTGCCAATCAGAAGGTCGGCGGTTTGAATCCCTGTGACGGGGTGAGTTCCCGTTCCTCGGTCCCTGCTCCTGCCTAACCTAGCAGTTCGAAAGCAAGTCAAAGTGCAAGTAGATAAATAGGTACCGCTCCGGCGGGAAGGTAAACGGCATTTCCGTGCGCTGCTCTGGTTTGCCAGAAGCAGCTTAGTCATGCTGGCCTCATGACCTGGAAGCTGTACGCCAGCTCCCTCGGCCAATAAAGCGAGATGAGCGCCGCAAACCCAGAGTGGGCCACGACTGGACCTAATGGTCAGGGGTCCCTTTACCTTTACCTAGATGGGATCTGTATACCGCTTTTTTCTATGCCACAAAAAGCTTCCCCTGCTTAATTGCTTGCTGCAAAAAGGGAAAGGAGCAAGGCCAAAGGGGGGGGGAGGACAAAACATTGTATTTTCTATCCACAAGGATAGAAAACGTGAGAGCTACCAAGCCTCATATTCTTTGTGTACATTAACCAGGAGCTCAGTGCCACAAAACTGCGCCTCCAGTCTATTGCCTCCACATTTTTTTTAAGCTCTCCTCCTTGACTATAGCAGCCTATATAATTAACTTTCATTGCAATGCTCCTTATTTATTTAAGGCGTTTATAATATTTCATCACGTTCATCCCAGGGCAGGTTTACAAGGTAAACTGAAACAAAGCCAACAGGGGGAATTCGGTGAAAATCAATCAGCAACAATTCCTTGGTGTTACTGGTACAGAACACCTTGGCAGGTAATCGCTGGGTGTTTGTTCAGTGTCAGTTCGTGTGGAAATGTTTTGCACGTCTCTGCGTAAATGTTGACATGGCTGTGTGCAACGTCATAGTCCAAAATTGAGCATATGACCAAGGATCAGGATGTGGTGAAGGAACAGAAAGCCATTGTTTTCCTCCTTTATGCCCCAACTGTGCTTTTTCATTTTGTTCAGATTGTTCCTAAGTTTTTCCATTAGTTTGGACCCACATGCTATCCCTTCCTGCTGTGGATATCTATAAGAAACTCAGAGGTGCTAAAGTGGCACTGGTTAGGGTTTACCATGATGCTAAGTATCTTACTGGGAAAAATCCTAGCTCAAAAGCAATGTGACAATGTGATAATTTTATCTAGAGGAGCTGGGAGCTGGGGGCACTGTTATACAGTGGTTCCGCTCCTTCCTCCTGGACAGTGTCCAGAAAGTGGGGGGGGGATGAGTGTTCAGACCCCTGGGCCCTCACTTGTGGGGTGCCTCAGGGTTCCGTCCTCTCCCCCATGCTTTTTAACATCTACATGAAGCCGCTGGGAGAGATCATCAGGGGGTTTGGGCTGGGTTTCCATCAATATGTGGATGATACCCAGCTCTGCCTCTCTTTTAAATCGGAACCAGTGAAGGCAGCGAAGGTCCTGGAGCAGTTGGAGGATGGATGGCGGCTAATGGATTGAGGTTGAATCCTGACAAGACAGAAGTACTGTTCTTGGGGGACAGGGGGCAGGTTGGTGTGGAGGACTCCCTGGTCCTGAATGGGGTAACTGTGCCCCTGAAGGACCAGGTGTGCAACCTGGGAGTCATTTTGGACTCACAGCTGTCCATGGAGGCGCAGGTCAATTCTGTGTCCAGGGCGGCTGTCTACCAGCTCCATCTGGTACACAAGCTGAGACCCTACCTGCCCATGGACTGTCTCACCAGAGTGGTGCATGCTCTAGTTATCTCCCACTTGGACTACTGCAATGCGCTCTACCTGGGGCTACCTTTGAAGGTGACCCAGAAACTACAACTAATCCAGAATGCGGCAGCTAGACTGGTGACTGGGAGCGGCTGCCAAGACCATATAACACCAGTACTGAAAGACCTACATTGGCTCCCAGTAGGTTTCCGAGCACAATTCAAAGTGTTGGTGCTGACCTTTAAAGCCCTAAATGGCCTGGGCCCAGTATACCTGAAGGAGCGTCTCCACCCCCATTATTCAGCCCAGTCACTGAGGTCCACCCCAAGGGCCTTCTGGCTGTTCCCTCACTGCGAGAGTCAAAGCTACAGGGAACCAGGTAGAGGGCCTTCTCGGTAGTGGCGCCCGCCCTGTGGAACGCCCTCCCATCAGATGTCAAAACGATAAACAACTACCTGACATTCAGAAGACATCTGAAGGCAGCCCTGTTCAGGGAAGTTTTTAATGTGTGACATTTTAATGTATTTTTAATCTTTGTTGGAAGCCGCCCAGAGTGGCTAGGGAGACCCAGCCAGATGGGCGGCGTACAAATAATAAATTATTATTATTATTATTATTATTATTATTATTATTATTATTATTTTCCTAACATGCAGAATGGGCCCATCCTGTTTCTTGCCCTGAGCTGCTTTAAATCCCCTGCAGTACAGAACAATATAGAAAAAATTAAATAAATAGTACACAGATCATTAGTGGCCAACTTACATATGACATGAACCCCATTCCAACTTCATTGATTTATTAAATCTTTGGGACGATTGATTGAAAGGTATCAGCTCTCAGGAACTCTTGACATGAACATTAGCGGCTGCCAGAACTTCAATTGCCCCAAGATGGAAAACTTACAGACTTGCGACTTTTGCTTTGGTGTAAAAATATGTGGAGTTTAGCATTAGCTGGAAAAACCTCATAAATTATGTGTTGCCAAAGGCTCTGAGGATTCTGAAAAACCCCAAGTCAAGGAGATAAGTACGTAATTATAAAACCTTTAGAAAACATCTGAAGGCAGCCCTGTA